ATGTGGACTGCTCTCTATAGCTCAGAGGAGCGCATGACAGTGTGTGTGGTCACGTGATGTGCGTTTTCAGCAGACGGAGGGCTGTTCAGAAATGCTAGGTAAAACACGGTGTGGATGTAGATCATTTTCATTCTAAAATATCATTTTAACACTAAGACGTATTAGTGTAAATGGCGCCCGAGTGTCTATTTTTCGCGAGCGGGTTTTCAATGGGGGCGGGGCAGAGGATCGGCGATGCCGGCTCAGCATTGTGTTGTCTATTGGCCATCCCCGATGGCATTGTCTATCAGCCCAACCCTAAGGGATACCCCCCAAAAAAAACATGAGAATGTACTCACTATTTACTCACCCTCGGGGGTTTTTAAACCTCTATGTGTTTCTAAGTTTCTCTTATAAAGAGATATTTTGAATGAAGCTGAAAACCTTTAACTATTGACTTTCATAATAGGTAAAACAAATACTATGGAAGTCAATGGTTACATATTTCCAGCATTCTTCAAAGTATCTTCTTTTGTGATCAACAGAAAAAAGTCAAATAGGGTTTTATACATGTCAAGGGTAAGTAAATGAATACAGAATTTTCATATTTTAGGTGAACTATCCCTTTAAGACAGTTTTAAATCTTACAATATTTCACAAAATCAGTACTTTTTCTTATTATTTTTAATTGAATATAGTCTTGGCTAAATCAATCTAATGTTAAGTGCTATGTGCAGTTTCTGAAGCACCTACCGATTTGTCTCTTTTTCGAGCGAGTTGACACAGATCTTTGCCGAACTGCATTTGACCGAATACATCTCGTGCAGCGTCTGCACTCTGAGACACCAGAGCGGACAGTAGACTCAGACACTGGCGGACAAACCTGCTCAAAACATGCAACAACCACACTTTCTGAGTGCATTCTCAAAACTTTCAAGTGCTTCATTTCGATTAGAATGTATTGCAAGAAGTACCTGTAATTTTTCGAATATAGACTGGACTGCAGAAGCGTCATGTGCTTGGACACAATCCTCCTAACTATGTTGGCGCCCACCATGCTGAACTGAGAGAGATCACTGGCCGTCCGCAGTAATATCATTTCTAGACACTGAAATATCAGCATCATCTACAAAAGGTGTTTAAACACAATTAAGCTGTTATTATAAAGCAAACAGTCAACTCTTAAAGGACACAGTATGGCATTTTTCGCCACTAGAGGGCGCATGTTCACAACAAACAAAGGTGTATTTTGATGACGTTGTGACCATGGGTCCGTTCTTCATACGTGGATTACTCAGTTAGCTGGATTTTCTTTATTGACGTTTTGACACGATCCAGGATCGTTTCGTTCTTCAAATCTCATCTGAGACTTGTTGTCATAGTAACAGTTCTGGTAGCTCAAACCTGCATAGGAGCAGGCTCATTTCATATCAACATGATTAGATCGAGTCAGCTCAAGCAAAGCTAATACTGAAAGTATGTACCAAATGCTGATATTTTCTTACAGTAGCTATATAGACTTGGGAAAATAGTAAATATATATATATATATATATATATATATATATATATATATATATATATATATATATATATATATATATATATATATATATATATTTGTAGTTTATAGTGTTTAAATAGTGTAGTTTAAATATTTTTTTTAAAATAGTGTTTAAAAAATTTAAAACTGCTTTTATTCTAGCCGAAATAAAACAAATAAGACTTTTTCCAGAAGACAAAAATATTATCGAACACACTGTGAAAATTTCCTTTCTCTGTTAAACAACATTTGGGAAATATTTAAAAAGGAAAAAAATATATACGTCCACCAAGAAGGCTACTAAACTGTTCAACTATAAATAAACAACAACATAACAATAAATAAACAGAAATTTGAACTCATTACTTACCTCCTTCTCTGGCTTTTCTTCATCCAGCAATGCAAAAATTTCCGAACATTCGGCAGAGATTTTAATGTAGCCTTCAACAACATCATACAGTTCTGCACACGGAAGAGTCTTTGCGACTCTTATGAAGGTTGCCAAACCTACATAATAATAAAGAAGCTCATGTTTCAGTATTAACACCCAATAATATTTTCTCAGGAATATAATAATAATAAAGGCTTTGATACATTTCATTATGACTTAAAGAATACACAACCTCAAATGTCATTCAGAATAACAATAGTTTACATAATAAAAAGTAAATATAAGATCTTTTCAGGCATAATGTAGAAGGAAAATTATTTGATGACCAACACTTTGTCACTGCTTTTTCCAACCACTGGGTTTTACTAAATTGCCGGTTTTAATGATTTTAAAATACAAAAATTTGTAATCACTTATGAACATTTCAGTTTTTTATATTACATATGTAATATATAATTATAATATATCGTTATAACAAAAATAATTTTGTTAACTGATGATTGAACACTCCCAATCACACTTTAAAATGTTCATGTCAAAAAAGTAGACATTTAACAAGGTTTTTTGCGTTTTGTAATGTTTTTAAGGTCTTAAGAGGTTAAACCATAATTATTTTAAATTTGTATTTTAGTATTGCAAACTTAACAATTGTGTCCAAAAAATTGCATCCACATTTGTTTTCAAATTATCGATTGGCAACTTCTGTGAATCCTACTTGTATTATTTAAAGGAAAGTACTAATTTTATATTGTATAAATATATAGTACAAAATGATTACTTTACTTTGAATAATAAAATAATAATAATGCATGTTGGGAAAACAAAATAAAGGTCTGAGGAGATCTTGGCTAAAGCACTAGGCTAGCAGAGAGGTTTTATTTACCAGCTAGAGGCAATTACTATGTAACGTTAACGTTAATGGTGTACACGAATCGTGCGTTTTGAACTCAAACTGTACAAATTAATAAATTATGTTTTGAACAGTAAGATTTGATAGAATACTCACCCTTCTGTGCTTCAGATGAATCCTTCAGCATGGATTTAAAAACAGTGCCACTAAACTCGCTTTCGTCTGTTTTGCCTTTCTTTGCTTTTGTCACAGACTCGGTAATATTCTCTTCGTTTTCACGTTTAGTAGCCATTTCTGTGTGTTCCTGTGAACGAAATCCAACACATGGAACGGCGGAAGTGTAAAGCTAGAAACGACAGAGGAGCAAAACACGTGGAAACGACGAACTCATTAATATTAAACTTAACGTCATGACGTTCTCTTTAGAGCGTTACGAAATCTAATTAATATCCAAAAGATAAGACATGTATTGGTTCGCCAGCTCTACGCCCGCCTCACGCATCGTAACATATTCATGAGCAAAACCAAATCATTAAAGGATCCACTACGATCTTAAAATGTATTTTTTTTTATTGTATTCATTCATTGATGACAGAAAATTTTATACAGAGGGTAGACAGAAAAGAAACTGCTCAAAAATGCCCCGTATTTTTATGTTAAATACAAATACAAATCAAAGAAACGCAGTAAAGACGATTTCTATTTTGTGTTTAAACACATTTACACAAATATGTGAGCATAAATGTGAGTGTACGAAGTAAACCAACAACTTTTTGTCTTTCTGAAACGACTGAATGTATTATACTCTGAACATGTTTGTATCTTTAAGGGACAGTACACCCAAAAATGCAAATTTACTCAAGTGGTTCCAAACACTACTGAAAAAAACAAGGATGGTTGGCTGGTTTTAGCTGGTTGACCAGCCTGGTTTTTGAGGGGTTTTGGCCATTTCCAGACTGTTTTCCAGCCATTTCCAGCCTGGTCTTGACCAACCTGGTTTAAGCTGATTTTGGCTGGACTCCCAGCCTGGCTAGGCCGGTTAAGCTGGTTTTAGTTGGTCATCTCCCAGTCTGACCAGCTAAGACCAGGCTGGGCATGAATGGAAACTAGCCTGAAAATGCCAAAACCCCTCTAAAACCAGGCTGGTCAACCACCTAAAACCAGCTCACCAGCCTAGGCTTGTTTAAGCAGTTTTTTTCAGTAGGGAAGCTTTATTATTGTGTTGAACACAAAGGACAATATTTTGAAGAATGTTGTAAACCTGTAACCATTGACTTCCACAGACAAAATGACTTGTGTTCAACAGAAGAAAGAAACTCAAATAGGCTTGGAACAAGTGGATGGTGAGTAAATCATGACTGAATTTTTTGGGTGAACTTTCCCTTTAAACATGAATCCACAGTTTCTCTCATTCTTTTGTTTTACAAGTAAAATATGCTGCATTTTAATTGATTAATTAATGCTTGAGATTATCGTGCCCAACTGAGCCTGGTTTCTCTTAAGCTTTTTTTTCCTCTACTTTTGTAAATTGGTGACATTTTGTTCCTCATCACTGTCGCCACTTGGCATGGTTTGGGACTCGTGGAGCTGCGCATCAAGGGATTTGCTTTTCAGAGTTTGGACTTTCAGCACTGAAAATTAAACCACACGGAACTAAACTAAACTGAACTAACTATTTCCAAAGGAATATAGGCTACCTAAAATAATTATGTAAAACACAGACACAAAAATAAAATTATGAACACGGATAACCATTTCTGAAGAACAATATTAAAATATAAAATATTAACAATTAACATTAAGTTTTTAAAGTATTTAAAATAAATACAAAAATAAAATGTTTAAACAATATTTGTTAAACATCTGGGTTTTTTTCATTAGCATTTGTGGATTTACAATTTAATAATTCCATTTAGATCTGTGGTTACTATTAACAAATTTTGAATAATAAGTGGTATTTGAATGACTGTAAAATTTGACCCATGAACGCGTCATATTTTTGTATTTGTCCAGCAGTCATATTTTAAAGTCATCATGAATTCAAAATTTACACTATTTACTTTGTAATGCATTATTGCTACTTTTAAAGAGAACAATTAGTGTGTGCAAAGTATGGCTTATTTGGTAAGATTTATATATTTATTCAATCAAAATGTCATTCCTTCTCTGATGACGTCAGTTCGACAGCTTGCCCAGAAGGTCCACATTACCATAAAATGAATTCATATGCACATTTTAAATTTTTGTTTTATTATTTCAAATAATTTATCAAACAGAAAAAATGATCAACACTAGCAGGAGAACTTCAGATATATAGGTTCAATAGACAAAGCTTTCAGTTTCACAAAAGCTTTCAATAACAACATTTAAGCCAATTGTTAAAATCCTTGTGGGAAAAAGGATGAATGAAATTAATTATTTATAGTGCCTAGAGTAAATGAGTACATTTCTCACTTTTAAACTGATGGGATGATGTACAATTTGACACTTGTGGAAAATCGGGTTTATTGGATTGTTTAGTCAGTACTGAAGACAAAACTGGACGTAATCCAACAAAAAAAAAAGTAAGATCCTGGTGCAAAACATTGGTACATGACAATTAATATTTGGAGAAAATATAAAATAAATATTAAGTTAACTAGAAAAATTAGGTACAGGTGCTCAACTCCTTGTTCAAGCTCTTGTTCTCTCCAAACTGGATTACTGCAACTCTCTACTAGCTGGGCTTCCAGCTAACTCTATTAAGCCTCTTCAACTGCTCCAGAACGCAGCAGCACGAGTGGTCTTCAATGAACCTAAACGAGCACATGTCACTCCGCTGCTAGTCCGTTTGCACTGGCTGCCAGTTGCTGCTCGCATCAAATTCAAAGCTCTGATGTTTGCCTACAAAGTGACTTCTGGCCTTGCTCCTTCTTATCTGCTCTCACTGCTGCAGATTTATGTGTCCTCCAGAAACTTGCGTTCTGTGAATGAACGTCACCTCGTGGTTCCATCCCAAAGAGGGAAGAAATCACTATCGCGAACGCTCACGCTCAATCTGCCCAGCTGTTGGAATGAACTCCCTAACTGCATCAGAACAGCAGAGTCACTCGCTATTTTCAAGAAACGACTAAAAACTCAACTATTTAGTCTCCACTTCACTTCCTAATCTGCAATTGCCTCTCTGAATATCACACTAACTGTACCCAAAAAAAAAAAAAAAAACTAATACTACTAATACTTTCCATCTTAGACTTTACAGACCTGAAACTTGCCTATAGCACTTATTCATTGTTGCTCTTATAGTTGTGTAAATTGCTTCCTTGTCCTCATTTGTAAGTCGCTTTGGAGAAAAGCGTCTGCTAAATGACTAAATGTAAATGTATTTAGTTTTAGTAAATTTTAGTAAGTTTTAGTAAAATAAATCCATTATTTTTCCTCATCTTAAAGATGTAATGTGACCCCACTCTTTTTTTAACAACTCTAAATGTTAAAATGCACCGATGAATAGTGTCCAGTTTCACTGGTAAATGGATAAAAACATTACTTTTCAAAGGAGGTGTACTCATTCATGCGTGGGCACTGGGAAGTTATCGAAACAACTCACGATGTTATACAGTATAAAGCACTGATGTCTTTTCAACACGCCTTACATCATTCTGAGAGATGAATCCACTGATTCGGCAGCGAGAGAAAGCAGGATAGCTTTCGGACTGTTCTCAAACAGGGCCGCTCTGTTCTGCGTCTGGCCCTTCTTCACCCAGTGGCCATAAATCTTGAACGCACAGGCGTCGATGAGTTTGCGAATAGGCTTTACTGCATAGGGGTCGCTCTTGATCACTTCTTTAGTAACTGGTTTGGCTCTTCGATAATTGCAGTAAATGCGCATTGTTGCCAGAACTGTCATGCAGATGACCTGGAAAACACATTTAAAATTCATATTTGGTAAATAGTATTGCCTTAATGTGTTATATTAAAGTGTTAGCTCAGCCAAAAATGAAAATCCAGTTTAATTACTCTCCTTTATGTCATTGCAAAACAAAACAAAAAACACAAATTAAGTTATTTTAGATGAAATCGGAGAGCTCCCTCATTCTCCAAACACAGCAATGGTTTCCCATTTGTTAAAAGTCCAGAAAAATCCTCAAAACAGACCATATGCCTTCAGTGGATAAACTGCAATATTATCGATAATACTTTTGTGTTGCCCAAGTATTTTTTGGATACACTTGTGCTTTGTGTCAAACAGAGGAAATCATGCAGGCAAAATGTTAGCCACGCCCAATTCCTAGGATATACGTAATCTTTTAAAGAGCCCATATTATGGGTTTTTGAAAATGCCCCTCCATGTAGTGTGTAACACAGCTCTAAGTGAAGTGAAGCATCCAGCTAAGGCTTAAATCTGTTAGTGTACAGTGTTCGACTCATAGTGCTTCAAACGAGTCGCCTTGATACCGATTCATTAGATGTTTCGCCATGACGTACGAACGAAACCAAGTTATTCACGTGCACGCGCAAACCCGGGAGATTTTAAACCTGCGGCCCCGCCCTCTGACATAGAAACCCAGACACACACACACAAACATGCCGGTCAATTGAAGTCACACTCCAGATGGATATTATCGAGTCTCTACCCAAAGATGAAACCTCAGCATTATAACCAATCAGTTGGAAACTACTGGAAACTTCTGGAAACTACAGGCTACAAAGAATACTTCATCGGCGTTTGTTAAAGGAAGGATCAGTAAAGACTAACTTACTGCTGGACATGTCAGGATGGGTTTCTTTCTCCATTTCTCAAGTGTAAGTACGTGCGATTAAAGTTGCCTCGTTTACTCTAGCTTGCAAATGTATTTAGTTGTGATTTGTTACTTGTAACCGCGTGTACTGTATCAGGTTAACTCGCTTTATTCTCATATCGGGCGCAAAGCCACGTTTAAAACGCGACACGTGCTGCTTTGTTTACGGAGCTCCGTGGAGGAGGAGTAGTGAGTGTGTCTGTGTGTGCGTGTGTGTGTGCGTGCGCTGTCGTCCGAAGGTGTGTGTGTGTGTGCGCGCATTGTCGTCCGGAGCAGGGTTAAGTGTGTGTGTGTGTGTGTGTGTGTGTGTGCGTGTGTGTGTCTGTGAAAAGAGCAGAAACAATCTCCTCAACTGTTTTTGGAGTTTTTGCTCAATAAAATAGTTAGTCGTCTGTATTTTGAAGTCCATAGTCTGTATTTACATCGACCCACTGGCAGCTAAACTCCACGCCTACACTATCGAGCGTGTATGAACTGTGATTACTGTTATATTGCTGATTAGCTGTTGGGCATTTCACTCTCTCACTGAAGGCAGTCGACCAATCGCAACAGACTGTCCTTGGTCCAATCAGCGCAGATTAGCTTCGCGCTAAGGAGGGGTTTGAGAACAAATGAATCACTGGACGATTCATACAGGAGTCGCTGGGATAATTAGGTAAAAATAAATGCAGATTATAAGACCATTACAGTGTTTTTTGACCTTGCATGCATATTAAACTGTTGTTGGAGACCCTTACAACCAAGATATGACCCTATTTCATGTATAATATGGGCTCTTTAAACAATTAAAAACAATTTACCTGAAAAAGAAACAGGAAGTGCATTTTCAGATTTCAATTACAAGGGTAAACAATTTTTTTCTTAATGACATGCACAGATGAATTGTTCAGCACAAAACTAGCAATGTGAGCTAGCAAAATGATAAGGTACGTTTTGATTTCATGGGGACTTTCAGCTAGTAGTGTTAATTACTGGTTTGTTAATACCATGAATTTGACCTAAACTAAGTGTTACCAAAGAGTTCCCACCTTGAACTTCCTGTATGGGCTGAAATGTCGCACCTCTGCGACTACATACTGCTGAAAGAAAGGGTGGTTTAGGGCGTCCGTGGCAGTGAAACGTTTCTCTGGATTTACCACCAACATCTTGGAGATCTGAATACAGAAAAAACAAACAGAATTGAAATTAGTTTAGGCGACACAGTGGCACAGTAGGTAGTGCTGTCACCTCACAGCAAGAAGGTCGCTGGTTCCAGCCTCGGCTGGGTCAGTTGGTGTTTCTGTGTGGAGTTTGCATGTTTTCCCTGTGTTTGTGTGGGTTTGTGCGGGTCCGGGTGCTCCGTTTTCCCCCACAGTCCTAAGACATGCGGTACAGGTAAATTGGGTAGGCTAAATTGTCCATAGTGTATGAATGTAAATGAGTGTGTATGGATGTTTCCTGGAGATGGGTTGCGGCTGGAAGGGCATCCGCTGCGTAAAAACATATGATGAATAAGTTGCTGGTTCATTCCGCTGTGGCGACCCCGGATTAATAAAGCGACTACGCTAAAAAGAAAATGAATGAATGAATGAAATTAGTTTAGTACATCTGTTGTAGGCTTGTATTAGCTAATAAAGCTACAGTTGAAGAGTAAATTGTTAGCCCCATTGTGAAATGTTCATTATTCGTGTGATTTTTTAAATTGGGTTCATCTTAGGTCAGACATTAAAATATACATGGCATTGATACATATAAAAATATACACTAATACAATTCACCAAACAAGAAATTATCAGGAAAACATAATTATACGCTAAACAAGTATATAAATAAAAGGTAAAATACCACATTTTAAACAAAGATATGCAAACATAAGAAAAAACAAGAGTAATACAAAAAAAAATAAGAATAATAAAAACAAATACATAAATAAATAAGTACAAAGAAAAAAAAAGGAATAAAAGCAATAGGGTATATGCGGAGCTAGTGTTTTTCCCATACTGAAAAACGTCCGGTGACCTGTTTTGTGAACTTTTTTTCCATTTTATACGGTTCCTTTTACAGCATCGATGTTGTAATGTCATTAAAATACATTCAGTTAAACAGACTTTAGCATTTATTTAGTTGCTCAAGCGTAAAACGAGACAAAAAGCTGTTTGCACGCGCCCGTCAAAATCGGCAGGCTAGCGCAGAAGCTCCATTGAATATACTGGGGTAAAATAAATGCTCCTATTATAAAGACATGGCGGGGGAAATGTAATTTAATGCAGTGCTTCTTGTACAACCTGAGACCTACTTTATATCGGATATCACTCAGCCAGTGGAGATGGCTAATTTTTAAAGAAAACAGACCTTAAACGCGCCGGTTTTTGCATTGGCATACAGTTCGCCGAAAGCAATTACCCCAGGTTACAGGCAAAATAAAAGTCCTATTAGCATGCTTCGGCATATACCCTATAAAGATATAGGTGTCTCTTTAAAAAAATTTTGAAAAGGGCTCCAGACTTTCTGGAACTGTTCTGGCTTTTGTCTTATTGCGAACCAATCTTCTCCATTTGAAGAGCATGTAAAAAATCAAAAACCCATTGTCGATAAGAAGGGGGAGCTGCTGACTTCCAATTCATAAGAATAAGTCTACTAGCCAGTAAGGTTGCTAAGGCTACACTATTGACCTGTAATGAATTTAAATCAACATATTCTAGCAGGATTCCAAAGTGCTGTTAAGGGGTTTGGGTCTATTGGCAATAAAAAACAGCAGAAAAACACCTGAAGACTTTCCCCCAAAAATCAGACATTTTCAAACTAGACCCGAAAGTATCAGTGTGGATGGTTCGATTGTACAGCGAAGGCAAGTTGGGTCAAGATCAGGGAAAATTTTATTCAGTTTAGTTCTAGACCAGTGTATTCTGTGCAAATAAACAAATAATCGACAAATAAAACCTTCTCCAAAATTAAACCATAAAAGAAAATACTGCGATCTAAGAAAACGTCCTTGTTCTGTTGAATATCATTTGGGAGATATTTTTAAAAGAATTTCAATTTCACAGCAGGGCTAATAATGTTGTCTTCAGGTGTGAATCAGTGTGTTCCTTTATTCTGATATTGAGACGCACCAGGTCTTTGACGGTGTCTGACCGGTCATCCCACTCCGGAGAGGTGAACTGGTAATTTCCTGCCAGGATCATACGCAGCATCAGCATCTGCTTCCTGTGCCAGAATGGAGGAGAACCTGCAAGAAGGGTGAACATGATCACCCCTGCACTCCAGCTGGAAAACACAACAAACACAACACAACAAAGTCCAACTTGCTCTAAAAGCAGACTCTAAACTGGATTTATGCTGACCATCAAACTGCCACATGAATGTTATGTCCCATTTTACTAGCGTCCACTCACAGATCAACAGCAGCTCCATAGCCCTGGTGATGAGGATCCATTGAGCATTCGATAATCTCTGGAGCCAAATATCCTGGCGTTCCACACACCTCTATGAGTGGAAACACAAGATTTACAAAACACACGTCAAAAATAAAAGACAGGATCTTGCGTAGTGTATCTTCTCTGCATTTCTTTCTTCTCTTACTTGTTTTCTACTCTAGTTGTTAAACAAACGTGGAATTCTTATACTAGAGCGATGGTTGGCTTTTGAATTAGTTTGATCAAATTCGATAAAAGTGTCATAAAAAAGTCATAAATGTAAATATACATTCATGTGGAAAAAGTCGTACATAAAACAAAATGAAAGGCCATGCAAGCGTAGTGAGGAGAGATTGCAGACGCTCTAATGAAAATACGGTAGTAAAATAAATTTCCTTATTTTAAAGATGCAAATGCATCACATAAACGAGGTACTGCAGCTGCATAAATAGATGAAAATATATTTAGAAATACCTCATTTTTATTGAAACATCTGGGACGATTTATACCTTTGTACTACAGACAAACTAGACATGTTGTCTCTTTTCATAATGGTGATTGAATCGAAGCACCTCTTCCTCATGGATAAAATCAGAAAAACGCTGAAAACCCGATGACGTCACTTCGTACTGGCAGCCACTCATCACTCAGAAATTGCGCATTTACTGCACCTCATGGCTGGGATGTTGCTTTGAAATTTCTTTTTAATCCATCAGAATTCTAAAGCATTACTGTGCTACAGTAATTCACATCAACTTTTTAAAGTTGTTTTTAAAAGTTTAAATTTAAAAGGCTAATTTAAATTAAACACAACCAAAATAGAGGTCTGCATTCCCGCGCCGCGGGACCCGACCAGATTTCTGCGGCGCGGGAATAAATTTTCGAATAAATCGCGGTAACGATCGGTAACGGGTTTAATTTGGGACGGGAGCGGGCTGTCTAGCAGTACATTTCCGGTTTTGTTCTCCCCCGCTCTTTAGCGGGATCGGGCGCGGCGGGTAGAAAACGGGGCGGGTCGGGCAGCGGGACCACAAATTCTTAATATAAGCGGGAGCGGTCGGGTTCGGGCTAAAACCTGGCGGGTGCGGGCGGGATTCAAAATTTAGTCCCGCGCAGATCTTTACACCAAAATACCCATACTACTTTAGAATTGTATGTCCACATTACAAATTTTGTCAAAATTATGAAAAGATATGGTTAATATTCTTTAAAACATGGGAGACACCCTTGTATGGTCACCAATGAAAACTGAATGTCATCTGGTGTTCATGTCTCGTACTGCAGCCAAACAAAATCCTTCTGAAAGCCAATTTTTTTGAGATATCAACTTTAAATTTGAAATATATTCTGTTCAGATATTTTACCGTAATTTCTGCCAAAATTCTATTTGTAAAATACATCATTTAAATATTAAAATACACGTTTATTGTTTTATTATTTTCTTAAATATAAAGCCGCATAACATTTGTTTTATTACACTTGTCATTTTTTTCACTTCATCTACAACCTGACATCTTCTTCTTTAAAATAAGACCATGCTTAAATCTTTGCACTAAAGTTTTGAAGAATGGCATTCATGTAAGTTGTGTTGTATGTTTAAAAAATTTGGGGAGACAGTTAAGGGGTTAAACTAAAAGAATGAATTTTCTCTAAACAATGCACAAAATACCCAATTTTCACTCAATACTGACATATCATTATTATTATTGTTTATTTTAGATATTTGTCAGCATCTCAAAAAAATGTGTTATGCTGTATTTACACCAGATACGGAAGAAGCGTCAAGCGTGAGTGATTTACATGGTAAGTCAATGCAAACGCGCGAATAGACATCCTGCGGCGCGATACGCGCGGTGCGAATGGCGCGATACGCATGAATGGTGTGGCGCGAATTGAGCGTTTTGCGCGTTTGATGCTCTTAACGCGCGAATCGCTCGAGTATGAAAATCTGAACTTCGGCGGACATTTGTGCCGAGTTAACCAATCAGGAGCTTGTTCTTGTGGGGGTGTGATTATGAAGTACCACGTGTTGTTGGTGTCCCGGGGGAAAATCCACCTGCCCACACCGACAACAGTTCATCAAACTGGGCTCGGCTCAGTCAGCAGCACCGCTGAAAGCCTCAATCATCCAGGTTCCGTTTCTGGAAGAGTTTAGGAGCTCTCAGAGCTGGGTGCACCTCTGAAAGAATCTAATGGACTCAGACACGGCTCCAAATAAATCAATGTTGTTTTTTAGCCTTTATAAAGCATAAACACAGTTATTCCCTCTATTAAATCCATGTCAGCCATTAAGCAATGAAGCTAGAGTCACCAGGCAGACAGAAGCCCTGCCCATCACACGAATCCGCGTCTGTTCTGAAGTGAATTTGACGCGCGAATGAAGCAAGTAAACGCAAATGTTCACGCGGCCATTTACGCGCAATTTATCCGCGCGCTCCGCGTCTGGTGTGAACACAGCATTAGAGTTTTATGACTCTTTAAGACTAACATGAGACTGTCAGAATGTAGCTGCATCTTTAAAACTATTTATTTTTGTTTTGCTTTACGTCATATTGTAAAATGTCATATTGTTAGTCATTTGACTGATGTATTTGCTCCTTATCAAGCAAGTGACTACCGTTGAGTTTTTGTCCTGGTGCAATCTGCACAGCAAAGCCGAAATCGGTGAGTTTGATGTTCATATTGTCATCCAGAAGGATGTTCTCCGGCTTCAGATCCCTGTGTACAATATTCTGGGAGTGAAGGAACTGAACCACTTCCAACAGGGAGCGCATGATCTTCCTGCAAAATCACAAAATAGCGTTGGAAATATATGGCAGGCAGCACTGTAAAAAATGCTAGGTTTCACACAATTTCATGGAGTTGTCCCAACACAATTCGATCATGATAATGTTATAGTTTTTACACATTTTAGTGGATTGAACATAAAACAATTAAGTCGTCCCAAAAAACCCTTAACAAGTTTGAACAAGAAGCAAAATAAGGCTCACTCCAGATTTTTGGGTATATTTCAAGAATTTTCTATTCATTTTCTTTAAAATGCAACGATATACAATAAATATATTATTTACAGTCAGCTAAATCAATTATTAATGCGAACAATTGTAAATGTGTAACTAACTGTTGTTTAACTTAGTGCTGACGGTTGATGATAACAGACTGACAGTAACAGAGTTGATATTTTCCACCATTTTGTGCTTTAGCTCAAGATGCTAACCTCAAAACAGATACCACATGGCATGCCTAAAACTAAATTTTATGCATTTTCAATATATTCAATATATATATATATATCAATATCTATGAGGGTGTGCCCTGCCACCCTTTAAAGGAAACTAATTTCGTCCACTTGTATCTGAGATCTTGTCCTTTTGGTCATGACCAGGGCCAGACAGAATCTGCGGACATTTTTTACTATTTCTGCTGAGAATTTTGGTAAAAATTTGCGGATTTCTGCGGAATAATTTTGGGAGTACCATCACTAAAACCTTAATATGTGAAATAAAAAATAATATATTTTAAACTTTTATTTAATGTTTACAATGCAAATCCAATTAGATCCACTTTGTGCGGTTTATTCATAAACTAATTTCGAGAGGATCACGTGCTTATAATCACCACGGCTGGTTCCTTGTTAGCTCTGTAATCAGCCCTATTAGATGATTACGGAAGCATTATAAAATATAGCTGCAAGCAGCAATTAAGGGGCCAAGCACTTTTGGTCAAAAGATTGCGCTGCTCCAGAAGTTTTTGAGTACTTTCAGGGCATGGGGTTGAAGATGCATACCATGTTTTGTAATGATATGTGAATGTGTTGGTAAAATATAGCATTTTTGGCTAAAAATTTAAATGGGCGACGCCCAAAATGGCTGTTCTGTGAAAATCAGACATCATTCGACTCGACGTGCTCTGCCGGATGTAATGAGACCAGTTTTATGAGTTTCGGACGAACGGTTGAGACGTTATAAGCCAAAAAAGCAAGTTTTTTGTATCTCCGGACCACTAGGGGGCAGTGCGCCGAAACTCCGCATATAACCTCAGACCCTAGTTGTCATTACACATCAAGTTTGGTGTAAATCGGTGAATGCATTACAGAGATATTGCCTCAAGTCCATTTTCGCAAGTTCTTCGTTAAATTTAATCACAAATTAAACAAAAACGATTGGTCTAATCAACTTGAATTTAATAACTTTTAGTTGGCATGGTCTGTAGATCATGTGATTCAATTTTAGTGAAAATCTGAGAAACGGCCTAGGACGAGTTCGATCAAATAGGTTTTTTGAATAATTTAAAATAGCGTGAAAAAATTAATGACGGAAAATGACGTCATAGGGTGCGTTTGAATCGGACTGAGCGAAGGAATCAGAGGAAAAAAGAATTTTGATTGTAGCCCATTTGGTTCAAAAGTTATCATGATAAACATACATGAACATTTGGACAAGTGGTGGCGCTAGAGAGTTTGATTTTGAGACTTCATCTTTGGTCTGATTAATGTTAATACTGTCCTCTATCATTGTGCCAGATGCAAAACATGTTTTGTAATGATATGTAAATATGTTGGTAAAATATAGCATTTTTGGCCTAAAATGGAAATGGGCAACGCCCAAAATGGCTGACCTGTGAAAATCAGACATCATTCGACTCGACGTGCTCTGCCGGATGTAATGAGACCAGTTTTATGAGTTTCGGACGAAAGGTTGAGACGTTATAAGCCAAAAAGTATTTTTTTTTTATCTCCGGACCACTAGGGGGCAGTGCGTCGAAACTCCGCATATAACCTCAAACCCTAGTTGTCATAACACACACCAAGTTTGGTGTGAATCGGTGAATGCGTTACGGAGATATCTTCTCAAGTCCATTTTCGCAAGTTCTTCGTAAAATTTGATCGCAAGTTAAACGAAAACGGTTGGTCAAATCAACTTGAATTCCATAACTTTTGGTTGGCATGGTCTGTAGATCATGTGATTCAATTTTGGTGAAAATCGGAGAAACGGCCTAGGACGAGTTCAATCAAATAGGTTTTTCGAAAAATTTAAAATAGCGCGAAAAAATTCATAACGTCATAGGGTGCGTTTAAATCAGACTGAGCCAAGGAATCAGAGGAAAAAAGAATTTTGATTGTAGCCCATTCGGTTCAAAAGTTATCATGATAAACATACGTGAAAGTTTGGACAAGTGGTGGCGCTAGAGAGTTTGATTTTGAGACTTCATATTTGGTCTGATTAATGTTGAGACTGGCCTCTATCATTGTGCCAAATCAAACAACTTTCCCGCATACGCCTATATGGGCTGCCATTCAAATCCGGCGGAAGAAACGGAAGAAGAAGAACACTAACGAAAGCAATAGGTGCCTACGCACCTACGGTGCTTGGCCCCTAATAACCTGAGTTTTTCACTCCAGTTATCTTCGTCTTTATTCCTTCCCCTTTTTCTGATCGGGCGACACGGGTGCCCAGTGGCTAGCACTGTTGCCTCACAGCAAGAACACCGCCGGTCCAACCTTTCGGGCCGGTTGGTGTTTCTGTGCGGAGTTTGCATGTTTTCCCCGTGTTTGCGTGGGTTTCCCCCGGGTTCCCCGGTTTCCTCCCACCGTCCAAAAACATAAACCATAGCCAATCGACTAAAACAAATTATCACCCAATACAACCTGAGTTTACACTTCTCACGGTGACGAGCAGGGGAGTTCTCGAGACCTACCTGACCTTGAACTCCCCTCTCGCCCTTCTAACGGGAGGGGGCCCCGGGCTTGAGGATATTACGAGCTCAGGGCTCTCTCCCGGGACAGCATGCCAAATACGCTTTATTGATTATCAGCTAAGTGTGAACTCTTGAAATTTGGTAAATAAAGCAAGTCTCTCATATAAAATCTCTACTAAAAGACAGAAAATATTACTTCACAAACTATATTGTACATAAATCAGATGAACATTTTCATATTAGTCTATAATATTACTGTACTTGTTTTAAACACTGAATAAATATAGATTTACACACATTTACTCAAGTAAATAAACAGAATTAATGATGGGCTAAAAATCTGCACGCGTAGATTCCGTGTGGGCCTAGTCATGACCCAAATTTCATGACAATAGATGAGAGTAGGAACGTAGATTGAACGGTAAAATGAAAGCTTTGCCTTTCGGCTCAGCTCCTTCTTTACCAAAACAGACTGGTACATTGACTGCATTACTGCTGCTGCTGCACGGATTCGCCTGTCAATCTCACGCTCTGGATGAAATAAGTTGAAAATGGCTGAGTAGTTTTTTCAGCTTTCTTTGACAGAGTTCAGAAGAACAGCAGCTGTCTGAAAACTGATTTTTTGTGACATTATAAATCTTTATCATCACTAGTGTTGTAAAAAAAAATAAATGAGTGAAAAGAAGAGAGAACCCAGTCCAGGAGACTCGAAACAAGCAGAATTCCTTTGAGACGTGTTGGTTAATCTGCAGTCATACAGCGTCTTCAAGATGTTCAATGTGTCTGCAAGAGCCTACTAGAGGTCCGCAGTCTGCAAGTTCTTTCACAAGTCTCTCACAAGTCTCACACAAGTCATGACATTGTAGTC